AATTTATTACAAGTTATGCTGTTTTATGTACAAGTCATTATATTCTTGGTATTGGGGATCGACATCAATCGAAGTATGTTCAATATATAGAATATATATATTTTAATTATTATGTATCTATTGATTTAGTTTTCTCATTGATACATCATCAGGACAAGTTATTGGTATTGATATTGGTTCAGCATTTAATGCTGCAACTATTGTAAGATTAAATTAAATTTCTAAAAAGAAAATTCTAAATATTTATCTTTTTAGCATTTACCTGTTCCTGAACTTATACCTATTCGTTTAACATGACAACTTATTCAATTAATGTCACCAATTGGTACTAATGGTCTATTTCGTGCAACAATGATTCATACAATGAATGCTTTACGTGAAAATTCTGATTTATTACTTAGTACAATGGATGTTTTTATCAAAGAACCATTTATGGAATGGATGGTAAATATTTTTATTGTTTTATTTTTTTCTTTTATTATAATTCATTGATAGGAACATGCACTCAAAACAAGTAAACAAGTTTCACAAAGTGGTATGTTTGAATGAATATAAAAAATACAAAAGACATAATTATGTTTTTGTTTTTTAGAATCATCAACAATTCATTCTGATGATACTTATGCTAAAGATCGAATAAGAAGTGCACGATTGAAACTTAATGGAATTAATCCAGCAGTTATTACTGGGTATGTATGAGAGAAAAAAGATAAAGTCTAATTTATTGATCTATTTTTATTTTGGTTCTGATCTTAAATTAAATAATTTTCTTCGTCCATCTAATTTGAAAGAGGCACTTCGTCAAATGGAAAACGTAGTTGATGGCGATCAAATACAAAATAAACGTGCACAAATTCTAATGCAATATCAATCAAATCGTTATCATAAATTAACAGTTGATGAACAAATTGATTGTATTATTGATCAAGCAACTGATGTTGATATACTTGGTAGAACCTGAACAGGCTTAGAAACATTTATGTAATTCAATGTACTTTTTCTATGACATTTATTTTCTTATTGTTCTTTACATTCAAAATCTTTATTTTGACGCATAAACTTCGTTCTCGGTGCAGATAGTTAAATTGAAATTACTTTGTGTGTGTGTACGGTGACGATGATTTTTTTCTCATTGTGTAATTCGACTTACGCTTTTCCTGTCCAGTTTATGGTTTCGGTGTTTTTGTTTTTGGTGGAATCAAATAATAAATAAAAAGACAAGAATATTTCGATAAAAAAATTGATTGTTTAAGAAAAATTGAAGTCAATAATGATAAAAGTTCACTATTTTATTTTGAATTAAGATGATAGTATTAATTCTAAATGTTTGATGACAAATATCAAGAATAAAGTTTAGGGATTAGAAACAGTTGACAAAATTTGTTGATACATATTAGTACTATTTTTTTATAGCTGCAATTAATCGACTAGTATGACATGATCAAATCTTTAGTTGTTAGAAATGTTTTCTATTCTGGGTTTTGCGTGTGTCGATCAATGCAGTGTAAACCTTCTCTTTAGTCTCTCCCTTCAAGTTTCTACACCCACAATTTAGATTTGGAAATTGGGGTGTAGATATCAGGATAGAGGTATTAGATATAGGAGTGTATGTATTGACGTATACATAAAGACATAGGATCATATATATATATGGAGTATATATATGATGTGTAGATAGGAATAAAAATGCATGAGTAAGGTATACGGATAGGAACATAGGTTACCTCTTTTGCAAAAGTCTCCACACAAATTGTTCTTTCGTTTTTCGGATATTTTTAAATAACTTGTAAGATTTCCAAAAAAACTGTTAGTTAAGGTTAGAATTGTGTACTCTATTTGAATATGTATTCAGAATTCTTTTCGATATAAGATCGGCTAATTATGAGCTCATGATTGAAAAAATCCTAAATGTAGTTAATACAAATATTTATTTTCGAGTATGTTTTATTTTAACTGAAAATTACTCAATGCAAAACATCTTTCACCGTACAAAATGTAGTAGTTAGTTTTTCTTTTGTGTATCAATCACAATAGAAATGTTTTATCTGTTACATTTTAAAGATCGAATTTTGAAATAGCGAGCATCTAGCAAAGCTCATTGTGTCTAAAAGTAATTTTAAGAAAATGTAACTAATCGTAATTTTTTCGACGTCCAAATTAATGTAGCACTTGATTTTTGTAAGAAATTGACAACTTAAGAAAATTGCTGAGTTGAAATCACTAAAAAAAAATATTCTACATTAACTATGATTTCAGTTTAAACCCTATTTCGCTTTTATATAAAGAGCATTTCTAGTCCTTTCAATCATTTGCACATAGTAAACCAATCTTATGTCGAAAAACTTTTGAACACATATTTGAAAAGAACACAAATTCTGGTTGTAACTAAGTATTTTTAAATTTCACAAGCTGATTTTTAATAATGGTTGAATTTGATATGATCCCTTTTTCGACCAAATGTATATCGAATTTTGATAAGGAAGATTTCGATTCAGTTCAATAGAATTCCGTTGGATTGAGTCGAAAACCGACTGATCTTGAATTGTTACCTCTGACTTAACTTTCTATCTATGATAGGACCTCTCGAATTCATCGAACAAAAATTTTTTATTATGGCTACATACATGATATATTTCCCATGTTTGAAACAGATTTCTTCTGAGTAAATCAAACAAAAATCATATTAGGTCATCATACTGTGAGCAGTTCATTACTATTATTCAAATATTTCTTTGTACACCAAGACTGAACATATCTTAGCGTTAACCAACTTTTTTGTAGTACAGTGATAAGCTGCATTTATTTTCTTGAATCGACTGTAACAATGGGATGAAAACGGAAATTTCACATGTTGCTCATGACAAAATACATGTAAACTTTGCTCAATGGTGTATATTTTACAAGAGTGTGCACTATAGATTAGACAGAATATCTTTCCCTACGAATCATGCGGGTGTGGGTGTGGGTGTGGGTGTGGGTGTGGGTGTGGGTGTGGGTGTGGGTGTGGGTGTGGGTGTGGGTG